CTGGGATATTGAAGAAATATAGATTTAATCCCAAAATGGAGCTTTGGTGATGACTAAAAAGTTAAATCCACCTAATTCTTGTACAGTGCCATACGAAGGCACGATATCTTGACTTTCTTCATTTTTAAATGAGCTCTTTCGAGAGTTTTATTGGGGTATTCGACACTCGCTTATCCTCCCCCGTCCTTATTGCACAAAGGTACAGTGGAAGCCAACACCCTGGGCGTCCACAGGGTAATAACTAGAATAGGAGGAGCTCTTTCGAACCGGAATACTAAGAACAAAAAGAAAATTTTAGCTCCGGCCAGTATGGTCGATATTCGCACGGACTGTATCTTAAGGTTTCGAACCAGCCGATGTTGCTGTCAACAAATATGGACAACGATTACATTTCTCAATGTTTATTCATCAAATTTCTCGTAGTCACAAAGTGTGTTCATTTATTTAGGCTTGATAGTACGCTGGAAACCATACATGTATAATAAAATAAAGTCACTGATTTGAAAGAACGAGCATACCACGTATTGTTTCAAATAAAAAAACATAAAATAACATTAAATACAGCATTTGAGAGAAAAGGTAAAATTGTCATGTTTTGGGCGTAGCTCGTTGTACAGAGAAGAAAAACCTTTATATATAATATGGGAGTAGCCAACATTAAAATAGATTTTTATTACATGACATTTCTCTACTGAAAATGATCTTGTTAATCATACGGCAGCTGTAAATAATAAAATTTACTATATAACTAAAACCTAGTAGGAGAATTTTCTTGTTCATTATTTTTTACATTTAAGAAATGAATACAAGATTACTAAATAGAATTGCAACTGGATCATTAACTCTTAATCGTTTCAAACATATTAGAATGATACAAGAAGAAGTAATGATACAACATAAAATGGTGGTACAACAACAAGAAGCAAAAGTCTCAGACGTCCAACAAAGACCCCATGAGCATTCAGTAACAGATTATTCTGAAGAATGTATTAAAAGTGAACAACTACCTGATCAAGCAATAGAAGATTTACAGCAACAAACAATTGAATATTTGAAGAATCATGGTTCTCAAACAGATGTAAATAAATAAAATTAATAGATATTGTGGGTTATTTTACATGTTCTGTAAAAACTTTTTAATAAATTGCACTCATCTATTGCTACACTCATGTGTTGCGATCGCCTCTCAGGAACATCCACGGTAAGGTCAAGAGGGGGTCGATGGGACCGAAAGAGGAGGGGGGAGAGTTCCCGCCCAGTTTTCAAAAAATGGTTGAAAGATTTTCGGATTTTTATGTTCTCCGATTTCTGAGGTACTTGCATCTTGCTTTTATATC